CCTAACACCCAAGTCTTAGATTCCAAGGGTCACTTCCTGTGTCAGGAAAGTGGCCCTGTGGCCATGAGTTCAATCAAAGAACTGAAAAAAGAAGAGAAAAACAAACAAATAAACAAAAACAAAACACAGAAACAGCTTTTACCACTAAAAAGGGAACCAGGGCTCCTTGCCCAAAAGGCTAATTCTACAGTCGGGGAGGGGCCATGCCATTCAACAGTAACTTGGAACTGAGAGGAAGTCGCCATGCCGAGGGAAAAACTCGTTCTGTGGTTGGGTCTGACAGGCGTCCCGACGGGTCATAAATAATGATGTACAAGCACAGGAGTAGAGAGAGGTGATTTCTCAGAATGCTGAGTGTTAACGGCAGTGGTGGAACTGAGGGGGAAATCATAATGTCACAACCGTCTGCTTCAGACAAGAGTCATCACTATACATCAAAATCTAGGGGTGAGATCTGACGATGGTCCAGATACCCACACGGCGGCCTTCAAGGGTCTACCACAGACAGCTTACTCATTCCAGGGGCAAAAGCACTAACTATGGGGTGGGAAGCCAGCCCGTACTTGAAGGAAATGACCAAAATTAACCACTAATAAAGGTCAGCCAGCTACCGTGGGTCTCCCGATGAGCATCATCATGTTCCAGTCAGAAACTTACACCCTGAGTGTAACTACGGAACCTTCGTAAACTCAAGACTGGACAGCATTTCCTAAAATGTGTAACGGGAATTCTTCAGTGTCAACACCATTCAAGAGAAAGGGTGGGGCTGAGTTGTAAACACGGCAAGTCGTAACTGAATGCCTGTGGTAAAGATGGGAGGGAGCCTGTCCTGAGGACCACGAGTCGGGGATAAAACACATGATCCAAACTTGACTAAGTGAGGCTGAGGATTAAAACTACGGAGCTGCATCAGTTAAATCCCCACATGCCATAAATACACCCTGGCTACAGAAGAGAATATGGATGTTCTGAGGAAATCCACGCAGAAGTGTCACTATATAAATGGCAGGACATATGCAACCTACTTACGGAAAAGTTCAGAAAAAAAAAGTCACGTGTGAGGAGCTGAGAACACAGACTGGGCAACATGCCTCCTCCCCTCTCTCCGCTGTTCCTCCTCTCTCCTGAAAGCTCCACAGTGCTTTGTACTAACTTCAGAACAAGCGGACCAACAACGCCAACTAGCTGTGAGGGTTCCTACCAGGAGCATCAGCTTAAACCCTCATTTTTCCCACCAACTACCTCACTTCTGCATACCAAACTTGGCCAAGGCACCAATTCCGGCTTTGAGACACTTGTTTAAAATTTGAAGGTTTTTAAGTGAAACTAATGGTTATGTCATTAAACTACTAAAACAGAAAAGGGGTCGTAAACAAACCATTTGAGAACTCTGGGGATCGACACTGATGTGGCTGCTGCATTTTGGCAGCACAATGTGCAAGGCAAGCTATTGTGTCCAGGAATGTCTAACACACCTTCTGTTACAGAAAACACAACGTCATCTAGCGAGAGAGGCACAGGTATGCAAAGATACGTGCACTCTATAGGAGACACTCTGAAGTGGGGCAAAGGCCACCAGGCCACCAGAGAGCAGTGTGCTTGGTGAGGGTTAGTACCTCCATGGCAGGTCAAGGAACACCTCTACATCAAATGAACATGGTTTACCACAAGGTATGGCACAGATCAAAAAAAAAGAGCAGATGCCACTGCATCGTCGTCAGTATGAAGGTTCAGAATGCCGTTAATGTGCGTAGTAAGTGCCCCAAAACAACAGCCCAAGGACAGGCAGGATGCTGCCGCCAGTGATTAACCCTAGGACAATTGGAGCAAGGGCATCACTCTTTTCTTTTCCTAAAAGATCATGAGCTTTTTTAATATATATATAATTTTCATAAGGCAAACATTTTGTATCCAGAGAGAACTAAGTTTTCAATGTCCTTTTTTTTTATATAAATTTTTATTTATTTATTATGTATGCAGTATTCTGTCTGCATGTATATCTGCAGGCCAGAAGAGGACACCAGATCTCATTACAGAGGGTTGTGAGCCACCATGTGGTTGCTGGGATTGAACTCAGAACCTCTGGAAGAGCAGTCAGTGCTCTTAACCGCTGAGCCATCTCTCCAGCCCCATCAATGTCCTTTTTGATGGAGTATGATCTCAGTGAGGAACATAAAACCAAAGCGGTGTCAGAAATACTAACAGCTTTCCCTTGGCTATGGGTGTTGTTTGTTGACTTGGGTTCTTCTGAGTCCCATGTTTTTCATTGTTTTAAAAATTAATTAAATCAACAGTTCTTTTATTTTTGGAGATAAGATCAATCCTAAAATGAAAACTCCAGTTCCATAGCAAGAGTGACAGCAGTTAAAAATGATAACAAATACAAGCCAGGTGTCGGTGGCGCACGCTTTTCATCCCAGCACTCGGGAGGCAGAGCCAGGCGGATCTCTGAGTTCGAGGCCAGCCTGGTCTATAGAGTGAGATCCAGGACAGGCACCAAAACTACACGGTGAAACCCTGTTTTGAAAAACAATACAAACAGCCACCATGTCTTCAAAAGCTTATCAAGAGCTAAGGAAGTGCAGAGCAGGGTCTAAGCCAGAAGTTCTCAACCTGTGGGTCGCAAGACCTCTCACAGGGGACAGCTAAGACGGATGTTTACATTACGATTCACAATGGCAGCAAAATTGCAGTTACAAAGTAGCAACACAAGTAATTTTATGGTTGGGGGTGTCACCGCGTATGAAAGGGTCTCAGCATTAGGAAGGTTGAGAACCACTGGTCTCGACAGCGTGACCTCCCTGTGACAGTGGAGGAATACTAAACAGCTGAACTTTGAACTGCTGACTCCCTTGCTATCTATTTATGATCAGGGAAGATGATGGCCAGCGAGGTCTACAGGGTAAATATCTGAGAACTCAGAGCAACAAACAGCAGAGTGCCGGAACAACATGAAGAATTTGATCTCTGGGAGTCAAAAGAATCTAGTGAAATTGGGGCGGGGGGGGGGGGGCACAAAACTGAATACTAAAATTGGGGACTACTTTCTTTGCAATCTAAAATTATTCTTTCAATTAGGCAGTTTGGCTGAGAAATTAGCTCTCTCTGCATGTTTGTAATACAGTCACATTCATGACACTTTTGTTGTTTTTTTTTTTTGTTTCGTTTTGTTTTTGTTTTTCAAGACAGGGTTTCTCTGTGTTGTTTTGGTGCCTGTCCTGGATCTTGCTCTGTAGACCAGGCTGGCCTCGAACTCACAGAGATCTGCCTGGCTCTGCCTCCTGAGTGCTGGGATTAAAGGTGTGCGTCACTGCCGCCCAGCCAGGGTTTGTAATCCATCACCAATGACTCTAAGGAGGTCGCTGGTATCATAAGCTCGTCTCAAGTGCCAATCACAGATGATTTTTATTTGGGTCTGTTCTCCTTTGCAAAGAAGCAGCTCTCCAGGACCCCTGGGGAAACAATCACTTTCTTAACACCTTTAGATTATAGGAATCCTGTCTTTCAGGACAAGCTGACTCCAGACATGATGCATAGAAGGAAATATCTTAGCCAAGAACCTCAAGTTCCCTAACTCTGACGTAGTCTTTCAACATTTCCTGAACGTAGCTGAGCTCCAGTCTATGTGTGCTTTTCACGGCCAAAATATATGGTGGGTGCTGGTTTCTGATTCTAGGACACAATAGCAATGTGACTTCAGTCAGGTGTGTTACTTAACCAGGATTGTCTTAAAATGTATTACCTTAGCAGGACCTGTTGGCTCATGCCTATACCCCCAGCCACTCAGGAAGATGGAAGGCCTGCCTGGGCTACAGAAAGTTCCAAGTGGCACTTTGGGAACCCCTGTCTTAAAAGAAAAACAGATAAAGGAGAGCTGGGGATGTAGGTCAGTGGTAATGCTCTTACCTAGACTGTCTGAGGTCTTAAAAATGAATCCTCTATACCAATGAAGAAAGAAAAAGAAAATGTATTACCTAACCAGCCTAAACCTGAACCACTTTATCAGCAAAATACAAAATACGAAAACGGTTGTTCCGGGTCAGCTATCCACAAGAGTTCCAAGTCCATCTTACTCTTCCTATGTCCGCTGCCCATCCGCTGTGAGCAGCGGGATTAATTAGTCTCTGCCCTGTGCTGTTTTATAAATCGTGAACTCACAAACTACATGACAAATGCCAAGGAACGGTCTATAAAAATGAACAAGGAAAGAATGCATATTTTATTTGTGTACTGATCTATGCAACAGCCGGGCGTGTAGCCTACCCAGGAGGCAAGGTTCTGCACTGCTGAACCACGCCTCCCAGCTCAATCAAAGACACCGAGAACCCTCCTCAAGGGACAGGGAGTGATCTTGGATGAGCCAAGGCAAGTTTAAAAACATATAGCAGTTTGTTGTTTTCTTCCCCTCCAGCGATGCAGCTGCACCAAGCAGAGAAGCTTCGGATTAGCATCGTATGCATTTGGGTCCCTTTTGCAATTACTACTCCCGATTATAAACAGATCTTGAGCTCCATGGAGAATTTACTTCCCGGTCCAGAGAAGAAAACCAAGTTCCTTATTTTTACTAACAACGCCTTCTCCAATCAACACTCGCCTTCCCTGGGGCGAAGGGGCACGCCTCTCCGCACCACCAGGAGCCTGTGGCCGCTCCTGGGGGCGCCCGGCTTCCTAGCCCCGGGGGACAGGGAAGGCTTGGGGAGGCGGGAGCTGGCACCTCGAGGCTAGGGACAACCAGGATCGGGAACAGCAGAGGCCGGAGACTGCCGGGTAGGGAACAGAAGAGCCTTGGACAGCTGTGATCAGGATGGGAGGCCTGGGACTGCAGGGTGGGGACAGTGGAGGCCGGTGACTGTAGGGGTGGCGACGGCGAAGTACTGAGGACCACCGAGACTGAGGACAGCGGAGGCCGAGGACTGCCGGAGCAGGGCACAGCGGAGGCCGGGGACTGCCCGGACAGGCTACAGCGGAGACTGAGGAAGGGGACCCGGGGCTGCACTCACCCACTTTGTCCTTGCCGTACATGTGGCCAGCCACCTGATGCGACAGCGGCACGCAGCCTCCGAGCAGGCGCGGCACTGGCGGGCTGTCCCCGGTGCTCCCCGGCGGCCGCAGGCGCAGCGCAGGGGGCTCGGCGGCCATCGGGGCGGCGACACTCGGCGTCAGGCGTCAGGAAGGACCGGGCGGCATCGCCTGCGCAGGCCCAGCGCGCGGACCCATACCGAGACCGCGCTGCCCGCTCCGCGGCCCGCACTCTGAACTCCGGCCGCCCGCGCCCGGGATAAGGGCGCCTGGGCTCCGCCTCTGCCCGCCCCCTGCTCGCTCCGGCCCGGACAGGACCAGTCTGAGCATGCGCAAATGCTACTAGCCTGGCTCCGGCCCCGCCGTGTTGAGCATGCCCAGAGGCTACCCTACTGGAGCCCCGCCAGCACCTCACTGAACATGCGCAGAAGCCACCCGCTAGACCCGCTCACCCTTCCAGGAGCACGTCCAGAAGATTGACCAGCACCGAACTGAGCAGGTTCCGAGTCGGAGCCTGCTGCCCAACAGCACTGAGCATGCTCAGAGACCCGCAGGATGGGACTATTGTCCCACGTATCCACTGTTTGCTTCATCACCAGCACCCCAGAGCTTCCCGGGACAAACAAGCATCCCCCGGTACGTCCCGATGTGAGGTGCCCCACTCCTGGGAGACGGCAGCAGGGCAACCTAGAGAGGTGGTGATAGGCAGACCTCCCACCACGCCCTGCCCTCCCAGATCAAAGGGACAGGAGCATCCTGAGTGAAGATGTTTCTTCTCACACCTTCCAGTTGGCACCCAGCCTGACTGTTGCCTCAAAGTATCGTGACAAGTTTATGTGTTAGAGATTGGCAGCCATCCTAATCCACTTTCTTTTTAAAGATTAATTGTATGTGTGTGCCGGTGCTCGGGGAGGCCAGAGGAGTAGGGTTCCTTGGAGCTGGAATAGCAGGCGTTGTGAGCCCACCTACGTGGGTGCTGGGAATCAAACTTGGGTCCTATGAAAAAGCTGTATGTGCTCCTAATCTCTAAGACTCTGCGGCCTTCTCGATAGTTTTCCTAAGTGAACACGTTTTTCTTTTAAGAGATGAACACTCTACTTATGTTCATTTATTCATGGCAGTGCTGGGAATTGAAGACAGAGCGTCGTGCGTGTTGGGCAAGCACAATGCCGTTGAGCAAGCACAGTACCGCTGAACTGCCTCGCCAGCCGGAGCAAGTTTGTTTTTGTTTTTCTGGGTAGATGACTGGCAAGGTCAAAGACCGAAGGTCCGGAGGCCCAATGTGGCTAGCAGAGGTTCCAGATGCAGTTCCATCAACGCCTGTGCGTCTGCACTGACACCCTATGGCAAAGTCTGGTCTTGCGGGACCCACAGCGGAGCTGGCCAGATTTGCAGGACCCACCGCGGAGCTGGCCACCCCTTGCGTTACCGATAGCCAAAGCGGGCTTATGGCCGGCTATAGGGAGACAGTCCTGCGGGTACTTGTCCTAAGTCACCTGAAACGCTCACAGCTGGACCACCTGTAAAACCCGGCCTGGATAGGCTCGCCCGGCCAGCGCAGACGCAGTCACCACCTTGGCACCCAGGGTTGTCCCGCGGCTGTCAAATCCTCACCGGTCCTCCGGGTTGGGGCCGCCGCGCATGCGCGACTCTACCGGCGCGCCCTCACACGCGCTCCCCAGCTTGCCGCGGCGCCTGCGCAGTGGCTGTGAGTGGGCCCGGAGGTTGCGTCCTGCCCGGGTCTCCGCGGTCCCCCAGCGCTCGCCCGCGCGGTCCTGCCACGGCCTTCCCGCTGCCCGCACCATGGGCATCAGCAGCGACTCTGTGCGAGGTGAGCCGCCCGCGGCCGGTCCCCCGCCACCCTTATCCGGACTGTCACCTTGACCTGCACAAGGGCAGGCGCAGGCCTGCCGGGAGCTCGCGGGTTGCCGGATGCTGGTGCCGGCCGGCATCCCGGCCCTGGACCACTTCCCCAGCCAGCCACGATGTGCGCAACCAGGCTAGCGGGTTACAGTCCACCCTGAAAATCCTCTGTCCCTCAGTACCCCCAAGGGCACCGAGAAGTGTGTGGGGAAACTGGCAGCTCCCTCCGACCCTGGTGTCCGGGAATGGTCATGTCGTAGATATTTTGCTGGCTTTGTGATCCAAGGTGAAGGAAACCCAATCTGAGCGAGGTCTTCCAATTTCCGGTTTCTGACGCACCTTGCATCAGGCCACTGATGGCAGTGGTCCAAGAAACAACTGAAAGTAGCCTTCTTCCCTAAGCTTTGAAAACAGTATTTTGAAGAAATCTGGCTGAAATTTAGAGAATTTGTGAAACTTGGCTAGTGTTAAGGTGATTAACTGTTCAAATTGACCACAAGCTTTGCGATATGCGTGATAGACTCTGCCCAGGTATAAAATGCCACACCCCAGGGTTTGGTTACCTCAACCTTAGTTGAGCAAAGGTAAAAGTTCATTACGATGAGCCCCATTGATTCATTCAGCAAATGCTGGTTATCTATAGTGCTCAGTTCTGTAACCATTCCTAACTTGGACCTCAATTTTGTAGTATAGGTTATATATAGTGGAAGGTTCTACCGTATGTTAATGAAACTGACTTGGCAGGTAAGAGGGAGAAAACCTTTTATTTTTATTTTTTAACATTTATTTGCGTGCCATGGCTCATGTGGAAGTAAGAGGAGAACTTGTAAGGAGTTGATTCTCTCCCACCATGTGAGTCCCAGGGACCAAACTCAGGTTATCAGGCTTGGCAGCAGGCACCTTTCCCCAGAAGCCATCATGCCAATGACCAAACATTTTAAAGTTACTAAAGACAATTCTTTTGCAAAATTTACTCCAAAGGATAGCCATCTTGGGACTCCTTTAAATACATGCACTTTGGTGAGTTTAAATTTTCTTTATGGTTTTTAAAATCTGGGGTTTTTGTTTTGTTTGCTGTTGAGCGTTTGTTTGTTTTTGTTGTTTTGTTGGGTTTTTTTTTTTTGAGACCTAGTCTTTCCTTGTAGCCCAGGCTAACCTTGAACTCAAAATCTTCCTGATCAGCCTCTCCACTGCTGAGACTGTAGGCCTGTGCCACCACACCTGAAAAAACAATGTCCTTGGCAATAAGACTGTTGCACAAAATAAAATGCTCGTGTGGTTTGTGGTGCAGTTGTTTTAATTTTGTAGGAACACTGTTGCACATGCCTGAGGTGAGCCAAGAGATTGCAAAATATGTTTTTGTTTGAAATCTGGGATCATACTGTAGAAGCGGATACTAGACCATGATTTAGATAGTGTGCTGTTGAAAAGGAAGGTGAACCCCAAGGACTTGTCACCATTTGCAGACTGGTCTTTCCTGCAGTCAAAAGATAAGGTTTTGGTTTTGCTTCATTTGTGGGCACAAGGAAGCTCAGAGGTGACTCTCCATTAGTATACCATTATCTACGGAATAGGAAACCTCTTGGTGAAACCCCCAGTTAGCTTCAACTTGAAGTACTCGCCTTTGTTATACGGGGTAACATTTTAAAAATAGGAATGACAGAGAGATCATTATGAAGACCATGGGGAGAGTCCCAGAGGCTTTGCAAGCTTCCTCTACCAGCTCCTTTCCCCTCAAAGTTGGAATGTAGATTCCCTTGGAAATAAATCCTCCATCCCCTTTTAAGATTTATTTACTTTATGTATGAGTGTTTTGGCTGTTTGTATTTTGGTATATGGTGTGCATGAGGTGCCCATGGAGGCCAGAAGAGGGTGTCAGTCAGTCAGTGACCCTGGAATTGGAATTATATATATATATATATATTTTTTTTTTTTTGGTTTTTTGAGACAGGGTTTCTCTGTGTAGCTTTGCGCCTTTCCTGGAACTCACTCGGTAGTCCAGGCTGACCTCGAACTCACAGAGATCCACCTGGCTCTGCCTCTCGAGTGCGTGCGCCACCACCACCCAGCGCAATATACCTTTTAATGTTTACTTCTTGGATCTTGTACAGCTGTTGTGGTTTGCTTTTTGTTTGTTTGTTTGTTTTTATAGAGTCTTGTGTGTAACTCAGGCTGGCTTCTAACTTGCTATAATAGCAGAAGATCACTTTGAACTCCTGATCCTTCTGCCTCTACCTCATGGGTGCTGGGATTGTAGGTGTGCACTATCACACCCGGTTTATTTGGTACTGTGGATTTTATGCAGGGCTTTGTGGAACAAAGCAAGCAGTGTGCCAATTGAGCCACACTTTGGACCCTTAGAGTTAACATGCCTACTGGTATTTAGTTGAAAACTAAAATTCTGACTTACAACCAGGTGTGGTTGCAAATACCTGCTATCCCAGCCCTCTGGAGAATCAAGAGTTGGAGGCCAGCTTGGGCTATGTAACATGACCATCTCAAGAGGGAAAAAAAAAATTAAGGGTAGGGGGAGAATGTCTATGCTTGTAGAATTCTTTACATTGAGGATGGAGAGCCTGTGGTCCAGAGGGAAGGCGGCTAATCAAGCTAAGTGGGTATCAAACCAGGACTGGAGTTAGAGGGGGGCAGTGCAGAAAAGTGATGGAACTTGAGACCCGCCCCCCAGTCAGTGTGAGATGGTTTGGGCACGTGCCAGCGAGCTCACTATGGTTTCTGGAAAGTGGCCTTCGATGCCCACGGATGCAATCTCATGATTCTTCCTCTTGCCCAATAGACGGCCTTTCTGAACTCCTCCTGGTCTCGATGCCTCCACACCTCACAGCGCCTGCTGTCGACCTTCACCCTTCCATTCCCACAGGGCTGACTAAAGAGAGTCAGTCTCTCCCGGCTCTGTGCTCTCTCGTTGCCAGTGCCTGTTTCTGTTTGTTTTGTTTGTTTCTTTATTTGAGTCAGGGCCTCTCTCTCTCTCTGTTAACCCTGGCTGGCCTGGAACTCCCTATGTAGAGTAGGCTGGCCTCAAACTCACAGAGGTCTGCTCCTGAGCAGAGTAGAGGTCAGAGGGCAGCTCTGTAGCTCCTTCTTCAGTCTTGTGAGTTACATAGACAGAATTCAGGTCATGTGGCTTTTCCAGCAAGTGCCTTGACTCCCGGAGCTAGCCTGCCTACCAGCCTCTTAAATCAAAATTCTTGTTTAATAAATTACTTACTGTGTATGAGTTCGAGGGGAGGGGGTCAAGGGTCACAGCACCTGGGTGAAGGTCAGAGGACAACTTATGGGCATTCTTCTCTCCTCCCACCATGTGGGTCAGGAATGAAACTCAGGTAGACAGACTTGGCAGCAGGCACCTGTATCCTCTGAGCCCTCCTGCCAGCTCTGTGCCTTGCCCTGCTTTCTCTTGTACATCTTCTTACTTG